CAGGGACTTTGATATTACGACACTTCTAGTAGGAGTAAAAAGTGATGATTTTTGGACGACCCCCTTTTTCTCAAGAAATTTTGAGTATTACTATAGAAGACTGACTAAGTTAAGTCACATCGTTAATACATATGTAGAAAGGTGTATCAGGTATGCATCAATACCAATTAACTGAGTATCAATAATACTGAGCAACTAGCTTCACTGAATATATATATAACTTATTTCAGTCACGAATTCATAAACATGGGTGGATACTACATCCACACTTACTATTACAGAGTTCGACTGAGTATGAATAGACGTATGGTAAGTACTATACGTATACTTACACTCACATTCGTATATCTATACTCAATCAGATTGAATGATTAGTTGCACTAAATAATCTGATTAATATATCTACAATTAATAGTTAATATGATACATGACTGAAATAATTTTATTAACATTGTTTATTATTTGTATTAGAAAATAGGAAGTATTAAACAGGTCATATTTACTAGGTAGTGCAAATTCTATTAATATTATCATACTCGAAAATTTCCAACTTATGATTCATGTTACTTAAATTGTTTTTTTATTTTTAACTGCTTTTCTTTTTCTTCCGACAAAATTTTTTCTCCATTCTTTTACTTTAATGAATCATATTACTCGATAAAAACTATAGTAAATATGTAAAAAAAACACATAACAAGAGAATGTAATCACATTTACTCTACACGTTGTTTTTTTCTCGATATATTCACACTATCGTACTTTACAATTTATTATTCATCATGAGTACATCAAAGCGTTTCAAACCCGATTATACATGTCTTGAACGATTACCTAATGAACTTTTTGTTGAAATTTTCGGATATTTAACTGGTGTAGATGCAACCTATGCTTTTTCACAACTAAATTATCGTTTTCAAAATCTTCTACTTAATTACGTTAATACATTTGATTTTCAATCTGTAAGTAAACTTAAATTTGATTATATTACTAAACATCATGATATTCAACAATGGCAATCATTGTGTCTTTCAAATAATGATCAAACACCTGGACAAATTAGACTTTTCTCTCAACTATATTCTCCTTTACAATATCTTTCACAATTACAAGTTCTTTCTCTTATAAACATAGAATCTAAACTTATAGTAGAATATTTCTCACCACTTATATCATATGATCAACTTATTTCATTAACTATTGGAAATATTTGTGGAGAAAATATGCAATCATTAGAATTACCATCATTAAAACGACTTGTAATCAATGCATGTAAACATACTGATTGGATAATGGTAAGTGAATTACATTTCAAAATCTTTTTTTTTTCGATTATTTATATTCATAGAATTTCCCTCATCTTGAAAAACTTGAATTTACAATAAAATATAATTGTTTTCATGGTCGTAATCCAGTAACATTACCAACAACATTAACACAACTTAAAATATTCTATATCGAGGAAAACGATGGAGATAATATACGAACTTGTCTTCGGCAATTGTCACAATTAACTAAACTTATTTTATATGATAAAGGTAGTCGTAGTCCATTACCAAATGGTAAAATTTGGGAAGAAATAATTCAATCATGTCTACCATTTTTAAAAATATTTCAATTTTGTTTTCCTTTTCAATCCTATCATAGTACATCTAATGATATGAAAGATGTTATAGCTTCATTTTCTACACCATTCTATTTATATGAAAAATCTTGGTTTATTCGTTGTGATATTGATTGTCGATATTCAACTGGAGGTACTCTCTATAGTTTACCATTTGCTTTTAAAGAAATGCCAATTAATATCACTTCCTTTGATACAAGTCTATCAACTTTAAATGCGAATGATATTGATAAGATAAAATATAATTCGTATGAAAAAGTTAAAACATTATTATTTAATGAAAAATGTCGTATGCCTGATCAAGGTTTTCTATCGACTTATGTTAAGCAACTGATTCTTAAAACAGCACTGCCAACAAATTGGTATTTTACATTAACGAATTTACATCATGTTGAATTTCGAAGAACTTTACATATGACATCATTAGATTTTGCACAATTTCTTCTAAATTCACCACAACTTCATTCATTAATATTACCAATATCAGTTCTAATGAAATTAACAGATAAATTTACAAATAATACTGTGTGTGATTTATTATCTCGACAAATTCAATCGTTAACTATATCTCGTTACTTTTCAGATGAATATGAACTTGGTGATGTAAGCGTACGTCTTCTTACATCACTTGTTCGTATTTTTAATAAATCATGTAAACATTTATCATTAGCTATATCAGCAAATCCAAATACAATACTTCCAATTTTACGACGTATGAAACAATTACGTAGTTTACATATTCGTTATAATCCATGGAGTCGATCATCAATTAATAATAATCCAATATCTTGGATTGAACATGCACCAACAATAATTCATAATTCAGATTTTATTCATGTTACTGATGATTGTCATTATTATATATGGTTTGGAAATCAACTATAATAATGAATATTATAATAGGAATTATTATATGTATATATTTTTTTGATCTATATGTAATGTATTTTTTATATAATCTAATTAATAAAAATATATTATATTTTTATCTATTTTTTCTATAGATGTCACTTATGTATAGAAAATATATATACGTAAAATATCATAGAGGTCGATGATGTAGTTAAATGAAGTGAAAAAGAACAGCTGATCTTCTTTCACAACTTAAATCGAAAAAAAAATAATAAAACGAGTACATTTAGGTATGATTCAAATAGGAAAACTTCTCGAATTTTCATTGGGATTTTTATCAATCAAACCATGACTAACATCATCACTGAATAATCACTATAAATAACGATTATCTATCATTTCAAATGATTTTGAGAAATAGTTAATACTAGTCATCATAACTTTATTTATACGATTAAATTATTTTTTCTAGATATATAGATATATATATGCATTGAAAAGTAACAGTAATATAATAATGGAAGCCGATCCAGATGAACTTTTGACTTGGCTTAAAGGAGATGGAAGTGGTGAGCGTGATCTTCAAATAATTGCACTGGAACAATTATGTATGTATATATAATGAATAATAAAATTGTCTAGTTTTGTAAAATTTCATTTTTAGGCATGCTAGTCTTAATGAGTGATAATATCGATCGATGTTTTGAACAGTATGTATTAAATAAAAAAGTTTATTTAATTTTTTTTTATTTCTATTTTAGGTATCAACCTCGGCTTTTTCTTCCTGGTAACTACTTTTAGCAAAATACATATAGACATATATATTTATTTTAATTTTATAATAGCTCTCTGTGATATATTCAGTGATCCATTAGCTCCAACACATGTTCTCGAAGTGACAGCACGTGCATTAACCTATTTTCTTGATGTATCAGTTGATTGTGCAAAAAAAATTACTTCACATCCAACAATTATACGTTCAATGTGTACGTGTTTACAAGCTGTTGATATTGAAGATCGTACAAATAAAGATTTAGCTGAACAAATTATCAAAGTTTTTGAACGTTTATGTTCAAGAGAAACATCAAGTATATATGAACAAGATGGTCTTCGTTGTGTACTTGATTTTATTAATAATTGTTATTCAGTTATACATAAAGATTCATTACAATCAGCTTTAAATGTTGTTGTTAAATTAATTGGTAAAATTGATCCACAAAATTCTTCAACACTTGATCAAACTATTGAGTCATTATCAAATTTACTTTTACATGATGATGCATTTGTAGCTGATAATGCATTAAGATGTTTTGCAACGTTAGCTGATAGATTTGCAAGAAAAACTGTTGATCCTGAACCATTAATGCGTTATTGTTTAAAAGATGTTCTTCTTCGTTCATTACATCATGTTTCAAAAACTTCATCAACAGAATCACATAATGTATCGAATGCACGTGGTGTAACAACAAATCTTTCAATTGTTACAGGTTTATTATCAACTCTATGTCGTGGTAGTTCAAAAGTAACATATGATCTACTTCGTTCTGATCTTCCTGACGCACTTGAAGCAGCTTTATGTAGTGGTGATGAACGATGTGTATTAGATATCATGCGATTTCTTGATTTACTCATCGTTTTACTTTTTGAAGGTTTGTTAAATATTTATCATAATAGCAGGAGATACGTTCTATCGGCTTATCCGTAAATTGATAGTAGTATAAAATAGTCTACTTTTAGTTACAGTTAAGATAGTTGGAATTCTGGAAAGTTTAGTATGATTTATATATGGATAGAACATATTTCTATGAACTATATTCTTATCTGAAAGTAGCGAGATTTATTTTATCGATTCCCTACTCACTCTTCTACTTTACTATTTTATGATAATCGGCAAATATTCAGTTCGCGAGAAAATAAAAACTCTAAAATAGATTGAAAATATCAGTTGACATTAATATCATATTCCTAATATCAAAAGTCATTAAAGTGAAGATTAAAATATTTTTTCTACATCTCTCTATCATATTATAAAAATTCTTTTAGGACGTCAAGCCCTTCCTCGTCCTGGAAGTACTACGACACGTACAACAAATTCATCAGTTCCAACAAGTGAATCATCTGAACAAACATTATCAACTTCAATTACAGCTCCAAGTGCTACTCCAACTGATCGTTCACAACAACAAATAATTGAATATATTCGTTCACGTGATCTTCAAGCATTTATAAATTATATCGAAGAAAATAATATCGATATAAATTATACTGATAATGTTGGTCAAACAATGCTTAATTGGGTTGCAGCATTTGGTACACGTGAAATGGTTGATTATTTATGTCGACGTGGTGCTGATGTTAATCGTGGTCAACGTTCATCATCATTACATTATGCTGCTTGTTTTGGACGTGCTTCAATCGTTCGTATATTATTAAAATATGGTGGTAATGTTGATTTACGTGATGAAGATGGTCGAACACCCTTAGATAAAGCACGTGAACGACAAGATGATAATCATCAAGAAGTTGTTGATATTCTTCAATCAGCTCATGAATGGACTGATACAAAACAAACTTCCACACTTGAAAAAACTAAAGGTGATATTGAAATGCAATTAATTTATTTAGAACGTTTATTATCAATATTTTGTCAATTATATCAAAATACAATGATATTAACAATAAAACGTAGTACATTACGTTTAATATCAAAATTAATACAATATGCAACAGTTGAACAAATACGTCAATTAAAAATTTTAACAACATTATTTGAATTATTATCAACAATATTAGATACAAATGAAGATGATAATGATACATCAAATATTGTTTTATTAATAATAAAAAATTTATTTGAAAAAGATCAATGTTTATTTCTTGAACAATTTCAATATTTAGGTTTAATATCAAAAATAACTCGATTAGCATTATCACATGAAATTACAAATCAAAAATCTGATCAATTATTAGCTATAAATATTATTTCAAATGATGCAAAAGATATACTTTGTTATAGACCTTATGTGTGGAATGAATTTAATTTCTTAAGAAATCGTGAATGTTTATATATATGGAATCATTTTATTGTGATTGAATTATCAATGGGTTCAAATGGTTGGTTTAGATTTTTTACAAATAATTCTTTATCAACAATGTATTCATCAGGTTTGTTTTACATTTTTTTTATGTATTATGAATTGCTTTTTTTCTTCTCTAGGAAGTCCAGAAACTAATGTTGATACTGATGAAAATCGTCATGATTTTATTGATAAATTTCAACGATTAAAACAACAAGTTTTTGATGGAACAGAACAAGAAAAAGATAATGAAAAACAACAAGCTATTATTGCAAGAACAATTTTTACATCGGATACAACTAATGAAACAATAATTACAGTAGGAAATTGGACAATACAATGTGATGGACCTACGCAACTTAGAATTCATAATGTTGAAGGCGAACAGGTTAGATAATAAAAATTTTTTCAGTTCGCATCAGAACTGAAGATTTTTTTCTATAAAAAATAGTCCTCCGAATGATATTTCTCATGATTATGTTCTTATTAGTCTATAACCTTTGATTGACATTAGGACAGATTTATTCTGCAAACTTATTGAAGTTTCCGATTGATACAAAGAATACATTGCATCCTCTGAAAATGTTAACAAGATTAGTAAAAATCTTCCGAATCTATGACACACATCAAAGGCTCCTATAGTTAGCCGGTAGGATTCGGCGGGACGGTTTTTTTCATCCTGATCCCGATCGTCTCTCACTCGACAGAAACCCCTCCCGGTCCCGGCAAAATACTTTTTCGGCATTTTCGATGCCGTTACCATTTTTTTTGTGATTACAATTCATCTAGACTTAAAACCCATCCGTGTATTTACTCAGGATTCCGTAATCCCTATCCCGTTTTTAACAATGATACCCGCCCCGTCGAGAGAAAAGTCGGGATTTTGATCCCGCTTCTGACAGGATAGGGATAGTGACGGTCCCGCCGGACCCTATTAGTCAGAGCGTACGGGAAGATCTCTGACTCAGGCCGACCTTTTGCCTAGAACTGCAACTAGTAATAACTGTAGAGAAAATATCTGGCTTTCGAAACTATCTCTAGACAGCGCTTTCTTTCTTTATTCTCATATCTATCATTTATCATATAGGTAACTATTCTTGAACATGATCAATCCGGTTTTATTTTCGAATCAAATCGTGGTATTCGTCATACGCATAATACTGAGATAGTATTAACAAATGAATTTTTAATTCCATGGTCAACAATTGAACGATTAACATCATCGAATAATTCTGCATCTCTCGCAGTTAATAAAAAAGGTAAACAAGAACAAACAAAACAACGTACAACAGAAATAGCATTCTATATATATAATGAATATTTAAAAAATGTTTCACCAACAAATTATACACGTTCAATATTAATTGAACTTCAAACAATTGTCATTGATTTAAATAATGAATTAAATTTAAATTCATTTACGAATTTAAATAATCTTTTTCAAAAATTAAAAGAATTTCTTCTTGAAAAAACAAGTTTATCTATATATGAATTATCATCATCAGGACTTGTTACAACATTATTAAAAATTTTTCATGGTTTACTTGATCAAAATAATCATCTATCATTAAATGATCAAGTATATGAACGTTCGAAATTATTTTGTTCAATATTTCTTTCCGATGATTATCCTGAAGCTTTTCAAATTCTTATACGTAAACTTATATCAATATTAGAATCAATTGAAAAATTACCATTATTTTTATATGATGCACCATTTAATTATGGTTTACAAATCTTTTCTAAACGTTTTCGTTTTCAAATTCAATATAAAAATGAACAACAATTATTTACAGATCGAACAGGAAAATCAATAAAAATTGAACCATTAGCAACTGTAGGACAATTAAAAACATTTCTGGCATCAATGGTAAGTTTTTATTAAATAGTACACTTAATTTTTAGATGAATATTAGAAGGGTATTAATACCGGATATACCGAGACCGAATCTCGAGACTACCTATGTCTCTGCCTTGTTTTCGCCTTACATTTTCTGACTCATTCGATAAAAGAAAATACATTTTCACTCGTAATTTGGCCTTTGAAAGAACATTTTAGAAACGAACAAAAATTACAACGTGAGGAAAGACCGAGAGTCTCGATCTCAGTACATCCTTATAGAAGAATATCAAACAAACTTGACGATATTTCAGTTCTGAATAAGAGATAAAAGTGAATCTTCAGTTTTTAGTAGACTCGAATGTACTCATATGATTCAACAGAATAAAAATTAGTTTGTTTAAATAACTGGTATTACTCATTCGATTTCTAAGATATGCACTGCAGTCGTTAGCCTGAAAACCGACCTTATCTAATTTAAGTTGAATATATTATTTAATAGGTTTCGAAACAATGGTATGATCATGCTCATAATCAATTTGAATTTGTTAAACAATTAAAATCAAACAATCGTGTAGCATTCACATATGCAAATGATTTTGATCAAAATGGAATCTTATATTGGATCGGTACAAATGGTAAAACAACTTCTGATTATACAAATCCATGTTCAACCGGATTAGTCACAGGTATTTTATTTCAAAAAAAAAGATGTTTTTTTTCTCCTTATTTATCATTCAATTTTATTATTTTAGTCAGTTGTTCTGATAGTAATTGTTCATCTCAACAATTATCCGATGTAATCTCCTATACATCATCTATAGATGATCATGACGATTCAAATCGTGGTTATAGTTGGATTATGATTGATTTAGGTTTAGTAATTATACCAACACATTTTACATTAAGACATGCTACAGGTGGTTTTGCTCATTGGCCAAAAACTTTATTATTTCAAATGTCAAAAGATAGTTTACATTTTACACATTGTGAAACATCATTAATTAATGAACCAAATTCACCAACAGCAACCTGGATGATAAAAAATTCAATGGAAAATTCATCGGGTTTTCGTTATATTCGTATTCATCAAAAATCTGGTCGACATCCAGTTTGTATTGCTGGATTTGAAGCTTATGGACAAGTACTTTCTGCGATTGATATTCGTTCAAGTAAGATTTAAGACTAGTTTATAAGATAGAAGTTAGTGTTTTCTCTAGAGGATGGGCGGCGCCCATCCAGAATTTTTATTAGTAATATTATAAATCATATATGTATATTTTTTATTATTTTTCCAGAACCTGAATTAACACGTTCTCGTTCTTGTCGTGATGATATTCGAAATCGTCCAACAAATTCTCGTCAAAATCCATCATTTAATCATTCTCATTCGACATCATCAACTACTACACGTACAAATAAAATGCATTCACATATACTTCGACGTTTAGCAAGTATGAATACATCGGGACAATCAAATTCTACAAACGATAATAATCGTCCTGAATCAACAACAATCGATAGAATTTTATTTGATCTTTCATCAATTCCAACTGATCTATCAACAGGTAAATCGACTATTTATTCTTAAATGAACAAAAAACATTTATCTTATTGTTTTTTTTTATTACTCAGCTATTGAATCTGATGATCCTGAACGTTTACGATTAGTTATTGAAGAAACACTTTCACGTTTAACAGATGATTCAACATTAAATGAAAATAGTAATTTACTTAATTTAATATCTCAACGTAAAAGTGTTTCAACACCCGATATAAGTAATGGTGAATCAACATTTACAGTTTCATCAACTGAACAAGCATCAAGTGCAGATAATCTTGTTTCATCAACTCGAGCTACAGATCATGTTGTTCAAGTAAAATTAATTATAATGATTTTTTTCTATAATAATTATATATTTTTTTGTTTTATTAGCTTATGCAAGGTTTTTGTGATCAAATAGCTCGACAATATGATGCTCTTGTTGCACAAACACAAATTGAATCAACATCTTCAGAAGATTTTCTTGCACCAATTCATTCCGATATGACAAATACTGATAATTGGCTTGAGTTTGGAGAATTTAAAGATGATACAATTGTTATTTCAAAAGGTTAGTTACTCTTTATTTATAATTCAGAATATTCAAGACAGTATTAATTTTTAGATGAGATAAATAATAAAACGGAAGATAATTGTCCAACAACGGAATCGATTAGTAGTACTACAGAATCAGGTATTTATATTCTTAAATAAAATATCTCGTTTAACTCTGTTTCGAAAAATAAGCAATCAATTATGACCCAAAAAAAAAGTTTAATCATCCAGGGTTATCTTTTGTTAATTGCATAATACCCATGTATGAGAAACATTGAGAAGTAGGTCAAACTGCAAGGATGAGAAAAAAAACAGAACAAAATGACGTCATCTATTTGCTTATCTATGATCTTATTGATCGAATTTCAAATATCTTATACTAATAGATGAGTAATATGAGATCCGCCTTCTTCGAAATTCACTGAAAAATGACCAATATTTTTTTCTACGTATAATTTTACTTTTTAGTTGAATTTCTATCTGCTACAAATGAAGAAAATAATAAGAAAAATGCTACTAATGAATGTACTGAACAACAGATAATATCGTATGTATTAATAATTTTCTTCTTATTACCATTTCTATTCTGTTCTGTTTTAATTTATTAGATTAGAAAATGATCTTAATTCTAGTGTACCAAATCTTTCATCAATAAATATATCATTATTAAATATTTTAACAACAGCACAAAGTAGTCCAAATTTAAGTGTACCATCAACAATTGATATAGCAAATATACCAATTATTGATGATGAAACAAATCCAATTGAAGAATCAACAAATATATCTGATCAACAACAAAAACAAACGGATGAAACAACAACTGATGATGAAGATGATGAATATACATTATTAAAACGTCTTAAACCGACTAGTGAACAAATTGATGCACCTGTTGAAGAAGATGAAGATGAAGATGAAGAACAACAAGATGATGTAAAATATTCAATTCATAGATAAGATTAGTATATTTTGTTTTACTTTCAGGAAGAAGAATATAATGAAGAATTACAAGAACAACTTCATGGTCAACAACAAGAAATAACACATCGAAATTGGGATGATGATTTTGTTTTAAAACGACAATTTTCTGGTAAATATAAATCTTTTATTTTTATCTCATCTTAATTTATTTTCGTTTAGTTTTACTTCCTGCATTTGATGGTCGACCAGGTAGAACAAATATAAATGCAACACAAGATATTCCAGTACCAACAACAATGGCACCTAAAGAAGGTATTATCACCATAATAATTTATTTAAAAAAATAAAATTTTTTTTTCTTAGCAACTGCAACTAAACGAATATCAAATATAGATGCATTAACGGCTTCTAATATGAGATTATTTATTCGAGGACCATCACCACATATATCAGGAGTTCGTATTATTATTTCATATTTAATATTATATTAATTAATCTATTATTCTAGTTAAAAGAAATTGAAATTGAAATGGATGATTCTGAAGCAACTATTTTTAAATATATTCAACAATTGATTAATCCATTTCCATCATCACAAAGATATGAACGTATTAAACGAATATTTGAACCGACATATACGTAAGAAAAGAAATTAGTTTATCTCATATACTAGAGTTTAAATAACAGTAATGATTACTCTTAAAAGTTTTCGACTTCAGACTTAATGTAATATCCTTCCGGTGATCATTCGTATTAGTATTTGATGACTTCCAAGGGGTAAACAACAGAGACTTCGTGCCTGAAGTCTCATGGAGTCTTATAAAATCTCATGAAATCTTCTGAATTTCTATAGATGCATTTATTTCACGTGGAGATGAGAGAGTAACAACGGAGACTTCATGCATGAAATCTTGAAAGTCTCTTGAAGTCTTCGAAATCTCTTGAAGTTTATGAAGTCCCTTGAAGTCTTTTGAAATCTGCGAAGTCCATTTAAGTCTCTTTTAGTCTTTTGAAATCTTCTGAAGTCTTTCAAAAAAATGAAGTCTCGCTTGTTGAAGTCTCTTGAAGTCTTGAAAATCTTGAAGTCCGCTATTACCCCCTTGATGACTTCCCAAGACGAACAATTCGGATATTTGCACCTTCCCAGCCGTTCTGATCATTCCAACGAATTCTTATCGAATACAAAAGTTTTTCAATCTCTCAAATAATTCAGTAAAACAATATGATATCATTGAGAACAAAAAATCTATCATCTCTTATATTTCAATACCATCTCAAGAAATCAACCTTTCAAAACGTTTTTTTTTTCGTATATCTGATTTCACATATGAAAGAACGTCTGATATCGTATCGGAAGATTGGTTTCTTGTTCGTTAATAACCTTACAACGATGTTTAGATGTGATAATTGTGAAGTCTGGATAACAGAAATATACAATTAAATGATTTATTCTAATAACTATCTTTAATTTTGCTTTTTTTTAGTATTATCTACACAGAAAAATCCAGTGAACATTCAGAACCAAATGTAAATAATTGATTATTTTGAAAAACAAACGTATCTTTTTCTTTCTAGACATCTCATATTGATGATTTTACTGTTACTGATACTTCTAATGAAATTTGTACTATTGAAGATATTCTTAAACTTCTTCGTCAATTATATTATCTTTCAACAAATTATATCCAAACATATCCACATCATGATGAAACATTTACAGTTGATAATTATTTTCATTCAAAAAAATTAAATAATAAACTATTACAACAAATTCAAGATTCAATATTAATTGCTTCATTAAGTTTACCATCATGGACATCATGGTTAACACATTCATATAAATTTTTATATCCATTTGAAACTCGTCAATTATATTTTCGAACAACAAGTTTTGGTACATCACGTTCAATTGTATGGTTACAAGAACGACGTGAAGAATTAATTCGTACAGTACGTAATAGTAATCATTTACGTTCACGTGTATTAAATGAAAATTCTCTTCATGAATTTCGTTTTGGTCGTTTAAAAATTGATCGAACTGTTGGAATTGATCGAGAAAATGTTTTACATGATGCAATGAATCTATTTCATTATCATGCTAAATCTAAATCAAAATTAGAAATACAATTTTTAAATGAAGAAGGTACTGGTGATGGACCAACATTAGAATTTTATGCATTAATTGCAAATGATTTACAAAAATATCAATTAGGTTTATGGTGGAATCATGATGATTTTGAATCACATCAGACAGATTATGTTCGAAAACTAGAAGGTTTATTTCCTGCACCATATCCTCAAGATGATTCTAAATTAGATGATATTTGCAATTATTTTTCCTTAATGGGAATCTATTTTGCTAAATGTTTATTAGATAAATATTTAATTGATATGCCATTATCTATAGCATTTTTAAAACTTTTATGTATGAAATCAAAAAATGAAGAAATTTGGTTTGATGGTATACTTGATTTAAATGATTTAATAACTATTGAACCAACACGAGGAAAATTTTTTCAAAAACTTTTTCAACTTATTGAAAAACGAAATCAAATACTAAACGATGAAACAAAAACAACTAAAGAAAAACAAGATCAATGCAAATTATTAAAAATTGAAAATGATACACATGAATCTATTGATATTGAACATTTATGGTATACAAAAAAATTAATTTTTTAGATAACTAAATTTTGCTTATTTATTTAGTTTAACATTTGTTTATTCACCACCATCAAATACTTATGGATATGAATCAGTCGAATTAATTCCAAATGGAGCACATATTGTAAATAATTCTATTACATAAATAAATCTTTTAATATTTTCATTTAGGATGTAACTATTGATAATATTGATCAATATATTAATTTATCACTTCAATTTATTTTTCGCGATGGTATTCGTCGTCAAATGGATGCATTTCGAAGTAAATAAAATTTATTGAGATTTATTTAATAAAACAAAAAATATATTTTTTAGGTGGATTTAATCAAGTATTTTCTCTTGATCATTTACAATGTTTTAATCCACAAGAATTACAATTACTTCTCTGTGGTAATCAATGGCCATCATGGACATTAGATGATTTATTGACATATATTGAACCTAGTCATGGTTTTACAAGAGAAAGGTTTGTCGAGCAAAAAAAAAGAATTATAAATTAATATTTTATTTTATTAGTTCGGGTTTCACAAAATTTCTTAATGTTATGTTAGCACTTGATGGATTTGAACGTAAATCTGTTGTTCAATTTATTACTGGTTGTTCATCATTACCCCCAGGAGGTTTGTAGAAAATAATAATAAATTTCAACTATTTTTTTTTCTTTAAAGGTCTTGCAAATCTTCGACCACGTTTATCTGTAGCACGTAAAGTTGAAGCTGATGATAATTCGTATCCATCAGTAAATACTTGTTATCATTATCTTAAATTACCTGATTATTCAAATGAAGATATTCTTAAACTTCGTTTAATGACAGCGTGTAAAGAACGAGGTTTCTATTTCAATTGAACGAGCTATATTTCAATTCTGTTTTCTTTTTTCTTTTTCTAACAATTTTTTTTTGTATGATTTTCTTTTTTTTCTTTTTCATGTTAATTAGTCCTTTTTTTCGTCTCGCACGTATATACAAGAAAAAAAGCGAAATTATTGGACTTCTTTTCCAATATATTTGTGTGTAAATAAATACAAAAAGGAAATAAATCATGATTTTAGTTAATAGTAGAAAGAATATAATAATCAATACAAGAGAAAAAAAACACATAGAGTAATCAAGATTGTTAGTATTCATATTTGTGTTAGAAGGTAAATAACAAATTTACATATGTCTTATAAATCTCGATGTTTTACGGAACTGTAGAATTATGTTATTTCTTTTTGACTGTAGAATCTTGAATTCCTCTTATAGTCATTTATAACTAAACACAATAAATTTTACCTTTGAAACTCTATTGGTCACGGTCTATAATAGGGTGTGGCAAGGTGTCTGCAACGAGAGAAGAAGAAAATGTTAAAAAAACTATATGATACCGTATATCGATCATTACAGTTACGGTCTATGACGTTTACATAGTAATGCATACAGAAGAAGAGTTCAAACACCAATCATTATATTTAGAAATACATCAATTCCAATTCTAATTTTTTCCACTTGAAATTCCTTATAGTGAAATGAAGAATATTACGTATACATATTTACATAAACTACTAATATGGTTTTAATTTTAATTTCAAAGACTGGAATTGATATACTCAAGATGAATTATATCAACATCTTCTTAGAAGTGAGTTATCAATCATTATCTTTCCCAGTAATGGATCTAGGATTTTGTAAGGGAGGGGCGATTTCGGTCAAAAACTATTTTTTCGTTCATTTTTGCTGTAAAAAATCAAAAAAATCTTCTGAAGGGGAGGAGATGGAGCGATTGTTCCCATCTCCTAAATCCGAGACTGATCCTTCCGTATTTTTTTCTTTCAATAATTATCGAAGAGAAAGTCATCGATTTATATTTCGATGTATCACAAACTAGCGACATCTATATTTTACATACTCTTAAAAAATTCTCTTCTATCTTCTTTATTTTTATTTTAATTATCATAATAAAATTATATTTATGAAAAAATTAAAAAAATAATTTATCTCGAAAAAAAAGTGTGGTCTAATATGAAGGCTCAACATTCATGGCTGAAGAAAAACTTCTAACTGTTGTTGTTTGTTGTTAAATATTAATGACTTATCTAAAGTTAATGTGCATTCATTTAATCATATATATCAGTTCTATTCATATTCACTGATCTATTTGAAATCAGAATAGAAATTTAAAAAAAAAAGAAAAAAGATAAGAAATTCCAAGGTCATTTCCATTTCCCTTTAATTTATACAACGATATTCCAATGATGGAAAACTTTCTTTGATGTTGAACATATTTTTGTAATGATTCACATCTGATGTAATGAGACTGATGGAATTAATCGTTGTTAAATAATTAATATAGAAAAAAAAAACTAAAGAAAAATACTTTACTTATTCATTTATTTATTTTTTGCTTATTAAAATTCAGATTATTTTTATGGATAATTAAGAGATAAGACCAAAAAAAAAGAAAAAATGGTTCATTTTTCGCAATCACTGATGCCAGATGTTCCATTAGCAACATCATTACCAACAACATTTACATTTCAACCAAATAATAATCAACTTGACGAACAAACAACATTACAACAACAATCTATCGCATCATCATCTCAATCTCAATTAAGTTCATCGAATCAACAACAACAACAGCAGCAACAACAACGATCATCTTCGAATGATGAACCATTAAATAATCATCAAACACATACGAATGATTATGAAACACGTTTACGGTATAGACAAGAAGAAGAAAAAAAAACATAAATGAAAAAATATTTTATTTATCTTCTAGATGTCCAAATTGTGATACATGGGTAGTGAATTTAAGTGATCATCTACGTAAAACTCATCGAATAGCATCACCAGTCGATCGAAAACCATTACTTCGTATGGCGCGTTTAGAAAAACGTCGTATGACTGAATCAGCAAATAATCCAACGACAACAACTACAACATCAAATCGTCAAACATCATCAACGGTTATGGTTAATGGTTTACCACCATCACATACAAATAGCAATAATGAAATTGAAAATCTTCTTTTTAAACATGAACATGATTCAAATCAAGCATTTTCAGTTACATTACCTGAAAATATTTTACTTAATCATCAAATAACAAATCCTATTGCTCATTTTACATCACCAACATCTAATAAACGACAACGTTCTTCAGATGATCATCCAGGACAAACAATGAATGGACCATTATCACCAAATAAAAAATCTCGTTTAGATATTCTTGATGGGACAAAATTATCCCAAACAGCCCATTCATCATCGGGGAAATCTACTAAAAAGAATCGAAATAAACAACAACAACAACAACAGCAGCAGCAGCAACAACAATCACAACCGCAAACTATTATTAAAACATCAGCATCAGGGATTTTCCCACAACAAAATGTTGCCGTACAACATATGGACGAGAGTTCGGATGATGTAAGTCAGTCAGTGTTTTATCGAGGTTTTTCCTTTCGAGAGTGCGATAGCGATTTCTGGGAGGGCGAAAATCTAATTTCTGAAGGGCAAATACATAGTACAGGCACAAAAATTGCAATTTTCGAGAGGGAAAAATCGTTCTCCGGTAGGGCGATGCCCACATTGCCCTTCCGCTGGATAAATCACTGTTTATAATGATTGATATTTGTTTTTCTTTTAGCTTTCCAAAGTATTACAAATGATGGGTAATGAAATGAATTTTCTTAATCAACATTTACAAACAACAGCAATTCTATTACAAAAACAACTTGATTTAGCACGTGATAGTTTACATGCATGTTCTGTTCAATTTGCACGTAAGTTAATCTTGAAAGAAAAGGAAATTTTAAATTGAATTTATTTAGATTTAAAACGAATGATTCAACAATAAACTTCATTGTTTTTTTTATTTCAACGAAATATCAAAATTCATTTAAATATACGTTGCACATTATATATATATTAATAAAATTTTTCTTTATTGTTGGTCTGTTTCTTTATTTTGATTATGATATATGAAAAAAAGACAGAAAAAAAAAATAAACAATTTATATGCGCGCGTGTGTTTGTGTGTGTGCCTATTTGTTCATTTATTTAGTTTTTTGTTTTATATATATATATACATATATGTATGTGTAGATAGATTGCAGATTATGGAAACAAAAAAAAAAGAATTATTGACACATTTGTTTTTCTTTTCTTCTTTTTTTTCTTCTTCTTTGTCTTGCGTTTAGCTCTTCTATAAAGTTATTGTGTTTGGTCTTTTTCTTCTTTCAGTATCGTTCGTTTTTCGATTGACATACTACGACGGCCGTTTCTTTTTCTTTCTTTTTTGGTTTAACTGTTTGTATTGCAGTCATTTGCTTCTTGATGTCTATAAATATATATATATATATAAATATATATGTCTAAACATGAAATAAATTTGTTTAGTTTATACACAAAAAAAAAGGAAACAATTGATGTTTAAAAAGAATAAGAGAAAAATGATCTGCTAATATGAGACAAAATCCATATATCAATATTTCAGATGGATATTGATGGTGAAGTTGAAGTCGAAGCAGATTTGCCTATTTCTT